TAGGGTAGTGTACTATATGCCACATCATGGGATATACCGACCTCAAAAAAACAACTAAATTGAGAACAGTGTTTAATGCATCATGTTTAACATCAAATGGAATTTTGCTAAATTCTTTACAACGTAATGGAGGGGTTATTCAAGATAATCTCTTTTCAATCATGCTTAGATTTAGAAAGTACCCATTCGCATTTACGGCACATATTAGAAGAATGTATAGAATGATTGAAATTAACCCTGAACAGAGATGCTTGCAGCGAATCCTGTGGAAAAAAAAAAAAGTGATGCACCTGTGAAAATCTACGAGCTTAATACTGTGACTTACGGTACAGTTAGTGTGCCATATTTAGCTATGAGAACTCTTAACCAATTGTCGATTGATGAAGGTCCAAAATTTCCTTTAGCTGCGCCAGCCTTACTTAAAAATTTTTATATGGATGATGCGCTTAGTGGAGCGGAATCTTTGAGTACAGCTAAGGAGCTTAAATCTCAGTTAACTGCAATACTGAAGAGTGCAGGAATGACACTGCACAAGTGGTGCAGTAATCATGCTGAACTTGCGGAAGAAGATCACTTTTATTCCTTTCCTAATGAAGCAGAATCTACAACACTTGGAGTGTCTTGGAGGTCTAGAAGAGACTGTTTCTGTTTTAGAGTGAAACTCGATAATGACATAGTTTGTTACCAAACGACAGATATTGTCCACAATTGCAAGATTGTTTGACCCGATTGGTTTACTAGGGCCAATCATAAGTAAAGCCAAAATATTCCTCCAACGGTTGTGGTTGTTAAAGCTGAATTGGGATGAACCACTACCAAAAAAGGAAGCTGATGAATGGAAGAAGTTCTCTACTGAACTGGAAGTTTTAAGTAAAATAGAAATTGAAAGGTTTATTCTTATTGCAGAAGTAGACTATGTGGAACTTCATGGATTTGCAGATGCCTCTGAGGTAGCATACGGAGCAACCATATATTGCAAGTGCCGTTCGAGAGATGGAGAAGTGAAGACAAGGCTAGTGACGAGTAAATCCAGAGTCTCGCCTATTAAACGAGTTACTATTCCGAGACTGGAGCTTTGTGCGGCAGTCCTACTTGCAAGGTTGATGGTTAGAGTAATATCTGCATTAGAGATTCCTGTGAACAAAGTTTATCTGTGGAGTGACTCCATGATCGTGCTTTCATGGATACAAAAGGAACCTTACCAGTTGAAGACATTTGTTGCAAATCGAGTGGCAACAATTCAAGAGTTGACTAATGGTCATCAATGGCGTCATGTGTCATCAAAGGAGAATCCGAGTGATCTTATATCCCGAGGTTTGGATCCCAGTAAACTTCTACAAAATGATATGTGGTGGAAAGGCCCTCTGTTCCTGAGATACGACGACTACCCAAATAGAGAGATTCCGGTGGAAGTCATTGTGAAGGACTTTCCAGACGAACTTAAAATCCTTAGTGACTCTAATATTTTTCTTAATGTGAAAGCTAACCCTTTCATTGAGGATTTCTTAAATTTAAGTAACAATTACACTAAAATTATTCGTGTTTTAAGTTTTAGTTTTATTTTTAGGTTTGTAAAAACAACTGCAAGGGAAGGACAAGGTTTCAGGTCCTCTTCAGAGCTCAGAATTAAAATTAGCTGAACTTAAACTGATTAAGCTAATTCAAGATAGTGAATTTAAAAAGAAATCTCAAGCCTTGAAAAGGAGGGTAAGGTACCTCCAGATAGCAAGGTAAGAAGTGTTTTTCCATTTTTAGATCAATATGGAATTTTACGAGTTGGAGGCAGATTAGCTAATTGTAAGTTGAATTTTGATAGAAAATTTCCTATAATCTTACCAAAGAATCATAAGTTGACTAATCTAATTATTGTGATGTTTCATAAGAAATACATGCATATTGGTCCACAAGGCTTACTGTCTATTGTTAGACAAGGGTTTTGGCCCTTAAACGGGCGCAACACTTGTAGAAAAAATAGTACATGAGTGTGTCGTATGTTTTAAAGCAAAACCAGTGCCCTGTCAACAACTTATGGGTCAACTCCCTCAAGAAAGAGTCAGCCCGAATTTTCCATTCAATTGTGTTGGAGTTGATTTTTTTTGGTCCTTATTTTATAAAATACCCACATCAGAGAAAAGGTCGCCTTAACAAGGTGTATGTGTGCATTTTCGTTTGTTTTGTTACCAAAGCTTGCCATCTTGAGTTGGTAACAGACCTGTCTAGTCAAGCATTTATTGCAACCTTAAAGCGTTTTTTCAGCAGGAGAGGCAAGTGTGCACGCATATTTTCAGATAACGCAACCAATTTTGTTGGTAGTAACGCAGAATTAAAGAAATTGAATAGGCTAGTCAGCAATAATGAATTAGGTAATTATTTATCGAGTGAGAGTATTGATTGGTCGTTCATTCCCCCTAGAGCTCCAATCATGGAGGTCTTTGGGAGGCAGGTGTCAAATCTGTTAAGTTTCATTTGAAATTCGTAGTAGTAGCAATTTAAAACTAACCTATGAGGAGTTTCTTACAGTAATTGCTCAAATTGAAGGCATTTTGAATTCTAGGCCCTTGTAACCTTTATCATCCGAACCAGAGGATTTTGATATCTTGACACCAGGCCACTTCCTGATAGGCAGACCTATCACGGCTATTGCAGAACCTAACATTTTAAACGTTAACGATAATAGATTAAAGAGCTGGCAAAAATTGACAAAAATAGTACAAACAATTTGGAAGTATTGGAGAAATAACTATTTGAGTGCAATGCAAGGAAGAACTAAATGGTTCTTTGAAAAAGACAATGTCAAGGTTGGAACTATGGTAATTTTAAAGACTGATAATGTTCCTGTATGTAACTGGCCTTTTGGCAGAATCGTAGAAATATTCTTAGGTAAAGACAATAAGGTTAGAGTAGTTTTGGTGAAAACGAAAGGAGGTATTTTTAAAAGATCAATTAATAAAATTTATCTTTTACCTATGCCAAATTAAACAAAAAGTATGTTTGTAATTAATTATTGTATTTTCTTATTATAGTAGTTTGATTTTGTTGATGTTATTAGTGATGTTTATAATTATTTACCCGTATTTCATATTGTCACTTTGTGTAATTTTTTATTGTAAAATCTAATTTTGAATGATTACATCATGTCAAGGCAGGCGGTATGTTGCGCCTGCGCGCGCATTTCATTACTAGCGTCGGCGCATGCGCCTTGAGCTCTTGGAGTTTGTGACATGAGATTGTAAGAGCATGTGAGAGAATTCGTGGCTTCGAGTGGCCATGAACGATGTAAATTAATGAGAATAAAAGTGAGATATAATACAGTCCATAGTTCCTGAGTTTATTGAATTATAGTGTAGTGCCTGCGCAAAACAAAATCTTTGTTAGAATTTACATGCAGCAATGGCCAAAGATTTGACAGATTACTTTGATTCTACATATGTAATATATGCATCTCCTTTCCATTCAGTTTTGATATAGTACAAACATATGTATGATCTTCTTAATCTCGAAATCTCAGTTGCCAAATATAGTGCGCAGTATTTCTGTGGTTTCCTGCAGGCAGTAAATGTAAGTTTAAGATGGTTCATATAACAAATAACATGTAATATGATCTTTTAGAGAAATATCGAAATAAACATATAGTTTATCCTCTGTCATTTTAAGTTAATTTAAAGAAAATAAAGGTAAATCGTGCAGCCAAAAATGCCAAAAATTTGGTAAAAACTAAGATATTTACTGAAATAGCAAGAGATAGATCAAAAACTGCCTGTAAAAAAAGCATAATACACATTTTTAAAAACTAGTGTATGTTTTGATCAATCAAAAAGCAATCGATTGCAAAAACAACACCAAAAGCAAATTGCAGAATTCATAACCCACGTGAAAAGAATCTTTGTTTTAAAAATGAAACTGCAGCTCAGATAAATAATGACATTCAAGTCAATGTTAGAACAGATTTTCAGCTATATAAACAAACACAATATAAGAACCAAATTCTCAGATCAAAAAATGCCATTGCATTCACTTAAATACATACAGAATGAAAATCCAGTATTTTTTAATAAATCGAAATTGAATTTTCTTCTGAAGGTATATCATGTGCAAGACTAAGCACTTTCTAAGATTTATAAAACAATGCATTTCATAAACAATAATTTATTAACAAATCAATTTCCTAACAATCACTTTATTAAAAAAAATAATCAGTAGAGATAATCCTGAACAAATAGGGAAAATGATAGTTCAGGTACTTTTTCTCGCAATTATCTCAGACTAACACACTGCAGTAATAGAACTATGGATCAGTTTCAATGCACAAAGATAGATAAAAAAATGATGCCACCACATGCATACTATGCCAATCATGGTTACATTATTTAAAACGATAATGATCCAAAACACACTGCTTAAGCTATGAAAAATATTTCTTACAAGAAAATAACTTTTTATAATGTCTGTCATTATCACCCGACATAAAACCAACTGTGAAATTAAATAGCATAATTAGAAAGACAACAAACTGTTCACCAAAATGGCATGGAGTACAATTTTCAGATAATTAAACAATAAAACACACAATTAATAATACATAGTGCACAGAATAACACATTAAAGTTATCAGCAATATGGGACACTGGACAAAAGTTTAGCTTTTTCATGACACCTCAATGCATTTCTAAAAAATATAACAATTATTTATATTTTACAATTAACATATGCAGAAGCAATTTTTTAAATAGGTAAATAAATGATAAATCCTTTACTACCAAAAACAATGCATATCCATTTTTAAGATTAAATAAAAAATTGCTTTGCCTATTCTTTGTTTCATCTTTTGGCCTCTGCTACATATTAATCTAGTACAAACAAAGACAGGTAAAGATTTAAAATAGCATCTGACACATTTATATTCACAACAAAAATTATTAAAATTCAAAACATAAATTGACCAAAAACGTTCAAATTTAGTACAAACTAATACAATTTACAAAGCAACGAAATCTGCAAACCTAAGTGCTGAGCCACTTCCAAGATTAATCGAGGTTTCCTTCCTTCAACCTCTAAGGCATTTAATATGGGAGGAAGGTCATCATCAAACTGCACATCAACAACAGCACCAATGACTGCAACAATCTTTCCTTTTGCCTGAGCAGCTGTTGCAGCAGATGCATAGCACTGAATAGCTAAAAATTATAGGCAAATTTTAACAAGTATCTTAACAGCTAAAAATATGAAAATTGTCAAATTATTTTAGCCTTTAAGTTTGTATATCAGAAAAGCCTTAAAATTACAAGCATTAATAAATTATCATTTGAAACCCAAAACAAAGCTAATTGATAACCTTTTAAACTAGTTTTACATGACTTGCTTATTTATCTTGTATGTCCAAATATAAAATATTTATGACAAAAACTTCATAATCTAGCATTATCATAGGGCAATAAAGGTTGCATGAACTTCACTAATTACAGAGAGTGTTTACACAATTTTGTAATGATTTTCTAATAAATTTAAATATTAATTTTAAAATATAAACCTGAGTGGCATCAAATTAGAATATGGTTTAATTATCGTCTGCAGCATTAAATGTAATCTTTTCTTTAAAATGTTTCTGAAAAATAAACACTGGATTGAAGGCTATATTTTTGCGCTGTCCGAAAATACTCTTCAATTATTAAAAAGATGTGAAATGCATTTTTTAATATTTCTACTTGTAAAATAAATGACATAATATGAAATAAACGTCAAAGTTTACATCTGACTGGTAAAAAGGGCACAATTTAAAAAAAAAAAATGCATACAGAACAAAGGTGTGTACAGCTCTCATTAAATCACATCTCATGTTTTAAAGGAAAATTCAGACCCCCTAAGTGGTACTTGCAATTGAATCATGTTTCTCAGCATAAGACTATGTGCAGATTGCCATATGAAAAATGGAAATATATAGTCACAATTGACAGATATACTTATCTGATTACAAGAAAAAAAGACCGATTTACTACCAAAAAAGGCTTAATATGCTGGTTCAGAGAAGTTTTTTTTAAAGGTTTTATGGTTATTACTAGATTCTCTTGTAACGGAAACCTTAAAATAAGGAAAGTGGGGGAAAATGTCAAAATTAATTTGGATTACTATTTGAAATATGTCTTAACACCTATTTTTCAAGAAGAAATTCTATCTCTGGTTGGATCCTAGCAGAGCCCACTTATATGGCGTGCATCAATGTGTACATGGACAAAGTCAAGGGAGTGTGCAATGCCAAATTTGTGCAATTTGGGATTTTCTTCAAGTGAAAATAGGTAAATGGATAAAGAGTTTGTGCAATTTTTTGACTTGTTATTATCAAGTTGGCGATTTTGAGAAACACACAAAGCAGTGGGTGATTCCGCACTTTCCCAGTAAGTCGCCAAGGGTGTGGGCTCTCCTAGAATTTTGCCCCATCTCTTTATCCAATCTTCACCGAGTTAATTTCTATCAGGATAAGGCTCCAAGCCTTATCCTGACATCTAAATCTACTGCTCTTTTGAAAAGATGAGAAAGTAAAGTGGAATTGAAGCTATTCCCTATAAATGCATCCCACCCAAGTTCCCCGATGTGTCTCCTATGGATTACCATCCATGTGGACTTTTAAAACAAGCTCTTCATAAGCGGTATCCCAAAACATTGGATGGACTGTGGAAGATTGTGAAGGAGGAGTGGAATAAAATAAACCTTGAAGTTTTAAGAAAAGGAAAGGACTTTTATCTTGGAAACTAAGATGTAATATGATAACTCAACAAAGGGATATCAGATTGAACACATTAGAAAATAAAATTCTAAGATTTGTTTACATGTAAATCTTAAAAAATCATTTCAAAAATGTGCAAACAACCTCTTTATAACTTCATATGAAGTCTTCCTGCACCTCTGTGTTTCTAATTCTACCATACTCCTAGCTATGTTGCGCATGAACTTCATAACGTAAAAAATCCACAAAACTGAATTTGTGGTTCACTTTGAAAAGCTCGATTTTTGGAATTCTTTTGTTTTAGAGGCGGCCCAGAAGTCGGAAAAAATGGTTATTCCTTCCCCGATATTTCCTTTTATTGTATTTCACAAAGTCGTGGCTTTTGAGTCAGGCACTGTAACAATAAAGGTTTCTTAAGTTTCCTGGCAAAACTGAAATGCTTTTCTTAATTACACAGCAACTTTATATTTCCTTCCATAAATATATTTTTTCTTTCTATTGCACAGCTTTTATTTATTTATTCATTTTGGCTAATCTTTACTGTACTATACCCCTTGGTTTTATTTTAAAAAAACGGGCAAGTGGTATTGGTGGTTCGTGAAATCTGGAAGCTCGTGGCGCTTTTTTGTAATAGTAACTCTTTCGTGTGGACCCATGTTTTTGGTTCTTAATATTCTTTTCAGTTGCTGTGTTTGCTTGGACATGTGTGGTATGGTCTTTTTGAACTTGCTATCATTTTGCTGTGAGTACCATCATTTGAGTATGACCGAGGTGAGCAAGAAGATGAATGTTAATAGGAGATGAGCCAAAACGACGAATGTTTAATTGAATGGAGGATCTTACCTGGAGGATGGAGGAGATGGTGGTGGTTGTGGTAGTATGAAGCCTAAACGTATACATGTGACAAAAATCATCCCCGTGTGTTAGGAGAGCAGCAAATTTTTTCTGAATACCATGACAGTTTTAACTTTGTTTAAGCTTCCTGATTTTTATCAGTGAAAATAGATTAATATGTACATGGACAAAGTTAAAGCAGTGCACAATGCCTACTTTGTGCAATTCTCTATTTTTTTATTTTTTTTTTTAAGAAAAAATAGGTCAATGTGTACATGGAGACAGAGTTTGGTAAGTCTCTGACTTCTTATTTTGGTTTTGTGTAGTGGCCATCATAAAATTGCCGACGATTTTGGCGTCACAGAAGAAACAATTTGCCAAGGGGTACCACAGAGTAAATTTTTAACCTTCATTTTGATACATAATAAAATCAAGCGAATTAATTTTTCATATTCAGTCACAGATACAACTAAGGAAATAAATTAATGAATTTCTATTATTTTATTTTTTTTTATCATTTAAGATAAAAAAAATACTATTCAGTTAAAATAACCAAAATATAAAACACATATTCTTAATATAATTAAATATCTCAATAATTATCCATTTTTGAATGACAGCAAATGTTTAAATAAGGGAAACTATGAAAAGGAGCAATGAGAATGATATAAGGAATGTGACCTTTGTTGTTACCTTCAAACGACAGTACATGGCCAAGATTCACAAAAGAAATTATTTAAACCCTAAAGATATATTTAAATGACTGTAAATGCAAATGAATGTATATATATTAGGGCTTTAATGGTTATTTAGATAGCATACAAATTAACTGTAAACAAAAATATAAATGTATGTTGTTAAATGTAAATACTCAATCTGATTATTATTTAACGGATTTTCATTTAAATAGGCTGATTAACTTCATTCAAACTAAAGTTTGCTAAAATAATACGGCATCAAATAAACCACTGATGCATTTAGCACTCAGAAAAAATTAGCAGTTGTCTTCCATATTCGAAAGTGCATAACGTCATAAATCAAAAATACGACAGTGCGAACGCTGAGATCCAAACGGAAACTAAATATATTTTAAGAGAATGCAAACAATGATAACATTACAGATACACCCCAAAGTAGTCTTAGAACAAATATGGCACCTTTATTACAGTTAAAATGATACGACTTTACGTGAATAAAAGATGATAATAATATTGAACAGACGATTGATGTAACTTTTCAGAGTAAAAATAATATCAAGTACATTAATTTTTCTTAAATTAACCGGCTCTATTTTACTTACATGTGGTCCATATACACGGGACAATTTTTATTCCGCCAACTACATTTGGAGTAGATAGTGTAGATGCTTTAAACAGTAGTGTGGAGGCTCGTGAAAAAGCCCTAAACATTTTGAATAAATACAATAAATTTTCTGGCCCAGAAATATCTTACAAACTGATTCCTAAATATGACCGAAACGACCTGGTCGGGACACGCAACGAGCCCGGATGAAAAATCTCGTTGCCACAAAGAATTCGATTTCTTTAAATAAAAAATGGCAATACTTAATGGCTGCCCGTACAGCCATTGTACTGTATTATTCGATTTTACTCAATTTACTATAGAAGTCCTGGCTTTTAAATATTTTGTAATTATTCGGAAGAATCACGGAATATAATGATCATTATATTCCGTGTGAAGAATTTAGCAAGGCACGCTAGCAGGATGCACTGCCCAAAGAGGTAAGAATAGAAAGAGGGTTCACAGTTTTCTCCACTATCTGGGAATGAAATCCTGCCTAAAAAGTGACGTCCATGTTCTTAATGTCAAAAGGTATGGATATTTTCCAAAGGTCTTCCAGAGATCTACTTCTTCACTCTGTTAAACTTAAAATCAATAGAATTTATTAAAATTACTTTCGTAATGTTGCTGTTAGTGCTACTGAAAATAAGTCATGGAGGGTGCTATTAAAAGCCGACTGTGTCTCGGACTCTCCTTGTGCTACTGCTGTGACTATTGACTGGACATGACTGCCTTGGTGTTTATTTGTTTCGTTTTAATCTGACTGCCTCACCTCTATGTGCTTCGTGTGATTCTAGGCAAGTCATGACGCTGCTCATCTGGAATGTGTGCTCCTCATTTAAAGAGTTTGGACTGTATTGGAGAGTTCGTTGACTAATGAGCTGACAATCAATGGAATAATAATAAATAAATGTTTGTAATGTCAAAGCATTGCATTACGGCAGTGAAACGTATGTGTTTCTAAATTGTTCCGTGCATGTATTTTCCAGTAAAAATACATTAAATTTATAATGAAATGCCTCGCTATTGTTAAATTTTTGTTTTAAAGTAATTTATCCATAAACTATTAAAATTTTTCTTGTTTTTTTTAAAAATTTGTTTTTTTTATTTTTGCCGTACACAATTTTCTTATAAAAAGTTATTTATCGTATTATTATTTTGCTCTACGAGTGTGATTCTAAAATTTAGGAAGTGAAGGAAATTTATTTATAAATAGTAAGTGTTTTTCGTTGGTCTCTTTCGAGAGGTGTACTTGGAGTAGCTCATCTGGACAAGTTCGTGAGTATATTTTTGATTTCTACGCTTTCATTATGGACATTGTCTTGTACATCGATAGGATAGCTTGACTTGGTAAATATGGATGAGATAAATGATTTAGCAATCCTTAATAAGCGCGATATTGTTGAGAATATTCTTAAACATGGCACGATTGAGGATTGTAGGCAGATTATGTCTGAGTTTAACTTAGCGTTTAACACGCTTAGAAATGGCTTACGGAAAATCACCCCAGAAATGGAGCAATGGCTCCAAAAAACCTATGCAGAGCTTGAGAAGTGTGTAGCGATTAAACAAGCTGCAGGAGATTCAGTGCAAAATATCTGCGGTAGCATCCCGTTAGTTAATACTAGCAATGATTCGACATCTAATCAAACTACAAAGCAACCCAAACCAGTTTCAAATGTTATTCAGGAAATAAGCAAAATAAATAATTATAATGAAAAATGGATTACACCCAAAAAATACCACAAACGCACACTTAGTGAAAGCAGCAACGGTTCAATGACGTCAACCAAAAATAAATACGCTTCACTAAAAATAGATGATAAAATGGACACTACAAATGTTAGTTCGCTAAACTCACAAGAAGACAGTACTAATAATGAAGGTGATTTCATTACGCCCAACAAAAAGGCTAACAGAATTCCGCCGATTATCATTTCAGATGTCACGGACTGGAAAGCCCTCAGAGATAATATTAAGCAATTTACCATATCCATGGAATGTGTACAGAAAGGTGGTGATATCCACATTAAAGTTAAATCGGACACTGAGTATCGTGAAGTCACGAGATACCTAGACGAAAAGGAAATTCCTTACCATACCTTTCCTCTCCCTCAGGATAAACCGATAAGAGTTGTAATCAAAAAATTATCTGTTCACACCAAACCCGAGGACATTATGGAAGAACTAATAGACAATAACATCCCGGTTAAAACAGTAAGACAAGTTACCAAGAAAATAGACAATGAAATTGTCAAACTACCCACTTTCATGGTTGAAGTCAAACGCAGCATAGAAGGCAAGAAAATATACAACATAACGCATATTCTAGATTTGGCTGTTAAAATTACTCCCTTCAGACCCACTCCAGGACACAAACAGTGTCACCACTGTCAGAGGTATGGCCACAGTCGTGCTCACTGTAAGCACAAGCCCAGGTGTTTAAAATGCGGGCAAAACCATATTACTACTACATGTACAAAAGACAGAAACTTACCCGGCAAATGTTGCCTCTGCGGAGGCCCCCACATTAGTTCGTACCGTGGTTGCGAAATGCATCCGGATAACTTGAAAAGAAAAATTGCAGAAAAAGAATTCCAAAAAGAAGCGAGAAAAACTTCAAAAAATAGTCCCCCTGATATCAACTTAGAAAATTTCCCACCTCTTCCAAGAAGAAACATAACTCAAAATAGCAGTGAAAATGTTAATGAGCAGAATGCTTCATCCACCAATCAGGACGCAGCTGTCGAAAGTGAGAACTTAGGCTCCGTTTCCGATTTCATAATTTGGCTGAAGAAATTATTCCTGCAAGGAAAAAATCTCTTCGAGCGGTTCTTAAAATCTAAATCAATATTGGAAAAAATCCAAGTCGGCTGGGAAGCCTTTGAACTTTTATCAAGCATCAATTATGAATTTTAACCACATTAACAGTAATTCAAGAACTCACCTCACTGCCCCCAGCAGTTTAAATCTTGCATTTTTTAACGCCAACGGTATTCGCCACAAGAACGTTGAAGTTGCAAACTTCCTTACTCACCATAATATTGATGTGTTTCTAGTGAATGAAACTTGGCTCAGACCTAATGATAAGTTCAAGATCAATGGTTACAACGCATTCAGGACGGACAGAGACCATAACAGGGGCGGCGGTACTATGATATTAATTAAAAGGCATCTGCACGCCAACGAGTTTAATATTCCCAATAGCAGCAGCATTGAAACCACTGCGATCGTTGTGCATTCGCGCACAAATGAGCCGATTGTCATCATCTCGGCTTATAATCCCCCCAGAAACATTCTCACCAACAATGACTTGCAAATTTTTAACAATATCACTCACCCTGTTATTATAGCAGGGGACCTGAATTCTAAACATCATAGCTGGAATTCTCAAAGAAATAACACAAATGGCAACAAACTTTATAGCTATGCTCTTACGAATGACCTTAGAATTTTTGGACCAACGGAACCTACCAGGTATCATCATACAGGCAGCTCGGATGTTCTCGACATTGTTATTACAAAAAATATCCAGCAAATCCCTTTCCTACAGGTGATTAATCAATTAACCTCTGACCATCTCCCTGTTAAATTTACTTACCATGGCTTTGAGAAGACCTTGCCTTTAAAGAAAATTATAAACTGGCAGAAATTCAATAATTCTCTAGAACAATTACCTGCACACCCGGCTCTTGCCGATATTGTAGACATTGAGTACAATATCACTAAGATCAATAGTAAAATTAAGAAAGCCCTTGATGATTCCACCAAATTCAAAGATTATAAGAAAGATAAGCTCCCCGACCACATCATTGAGAAAATAAAAGACAAAAACCGCACAGCAAAAATCTGGCGAAGAACAGGCGATCCCACTGTTAAAAGAAATCTGAACAGAAAAATTAGGAACATCAAGACCCTCCTCCTAGAGTACAGATCAAATTGTTGGGACGATTTCTTAGACTCCATGGATTTCTCTCCGAATACAGTCTGGCGTATTGGAAATTCCTTAAGGAATACTAATAACAGAAATATTGGTCCTCTCCACACCAGTAGTGGAATTGCTTATTCTGAACATGACATGGCTGAAGCCCTTGCGCAGCATCTAGAAAAGACGTTTCACCAATCATGCCTCTAATAATGATGAGACAGATGAAGAAGTCGATAATTTCATTAACCACCTAGCTGACAGAAATTGTAATAATCACTTCAACCCAACTTCTCCAGCAGAAATAAGTAATATAATTAGCAACTTAAAGTCCAGGAAAGCTCCCGGCTACGATAGCATCACCAATACGGTTCTCAAAGCTCTCCCAAGAACCTACATAGTCCTCATTACAAACATAGTCAATGCTTGTATGAGGCTCAATTACTTTCCGCAACAGTGGAAGCACGCGCAGATAATTACGTTTGTCAAGCCGGGGAAAAACCCAAAGGACTTAAACTCCTACCGTCCGATCAGCCTTCTCCCCAGTTTGGGAAAGGTATTTGAGCGTGTGCTCCAAAAGAGATTAACTCGACATCTAGAGGATAAGGAAATTATATGTAAAGAGCAGTTTGGTTTTAGAGCCGGTCATAGTACCGTGCACCAACTACTGAACGTTACAGAATTTATTGCAGACTCCTTCGCAAAAAAGAACACAATCGCCAGCTGCTTTCTAGACCTAGAAAAAGCATTTGACAAGGTGTGGCATGAGGGTCTCCTCTACAAGCTGCACCTTGTTCATCTGCCCATCAGTTTTATTAAGCTCATGAAAAGTTATCTTAAAAACAGGACCTTTCAGGTAAAAATTAATGACTCTCTCTCTTCAAGAAAAAGAATTAAAAGCGGAGTGGCTCAAGGAAGCGTTCTGGGACCGCTTCTGTTTAATATCTACACGAATGATATGCCGGTTCCTTTGAATGCAAAAGTAGTGAAATATGCCGACGACACAGCAATTTTAACCAAGTCGCTAAAACCTCAGCTCGCTGTAGATAAACTTGAAAGCGCAGTAAATATCATAGCACACTATTATGATTCATGGAAATTAAAAGTAAATCCGTCAAAGAGCCAAATTCTCCTTTTCAGACGTCATCGGAAGTTCACTCCTGTAAATGTAAATATAAAAATTAATGATCAAGCCCTAGCAATTGTTTCAAGTACCAAGTATCTAGGAGTGGTCTTCGACTCACAGCTGTTATTCAAAGAACACACGGAGTATGCCTTGC